GTGTCGGTGGCTTGGTGTTTGTTTCCAAGAAAACTGAAAAGCCATTTTGTAGTGACTTTGTGTTCTCATTTGTGATAAGTGCTGATTTCATCTGATTTCCAAGAAACTTCAAAACTATTCTGTAGTATTCTGTAGTGATCTTAAGGTTACCAGTTACCACACCTCAAAATCAAAAAACATAGAGACCCTTTTGATCCCTTTTGTAGATGTTGGATATGTTAGCACTGCACAACACTTCAGCCGCGCGGACTGGTTTTCAGGAGCCATTTGGTTCTTTTTTTGTTGCGGGGAGTGGTGGGAGGGGGATTCTGGAAATTCTTTTACAATATTTTACAATCTTTTACATACTTGCACATGCTCTTACAACTCTCTTAATTACAACATCTTACAACATGGTTTGTTCTTTTTTTGGAAAATGCTAATTCAATCTAATTCATTGATTCAAAGATGATTGAGCCTTCCAGAATGGTGTTGATTTCTTTGCTGAAAACAACGAACAAATTTTGAAAAATGTAAATCCATAGTTCACAAGTAGGTTTGGATTTACATAATGTTTTTTTTTGGGGGGGGAATTTTCACAGATGGATTTATATCCTGAACAAGTTTACAAAATGGTTTGTTTTATTCCAGACAAAATGAAAAAACACCTGATTTTTTAGGAACACTACTAAATGGTTTGCAAAATATTTTTGGATTTGGCCACAGATTGGGGTTGGCTTTACAAAATTGTGTTGATTCTTGTCTAAAAACAGTGAACAAATCTACAAAATGGTTTGTAGTTTTTTTTGGGGGGAAAATGCTAACTCATTGATTCAAAGATGACTGAGCCTTACAGAATGGTTTTTTAAATTCCTGGAAATCTGAAGTTATTTCTACAAAATGGTTTGTAAAATAATTGCTAAACAATGGTTTTGAATTGTTTTGGCTCCCCCAACCCGACCCCCTAAATTCCAAGGGGGATCCGATGCGCAGAATACCAAACTGGACCTGTCAACTGGAGCCAAATAGCTCAGCTACCTCGACAGCAGAAAGACACAGGCTGAGACCTTTTTTTGTCATTGCGTTTTGTGTTTTGCAACGAGGCCATCCAAACAATGGGACAACAGAAGACATTTTGCAAACAGCGACAGTCGAGCTGCAAAAAAAACTCAATTTGCCCAGGATTTTGCAACAGGATGGCAAAGGCCAGGAAGAACAGGGGGGAACTTATCCTGCTGTACTGTTCCAAATGCGGGAGACTGTGCTGCATTATATATATTTTTTGTTAGATTATATTAGTTTATGTAATTGTATATATATAATTTACAATCGAAGGAAGTTTAGAAGTCAAACTTCCGACAATATGGACAGATGAAAAGCAGAGGTGGAGCAGAAGAATAGAGAAGAGAAGAGCAAAAGAGAGAAGATCAGAGAAGAGAAAGAGTCAGAAGAAAGAAGATGCAGGTGCGCGAAAAGGTAGGAAAGTCGCGAAACACTGTGTTTTTCCAATGATTTGTGGCTCCAGAGGGTCGAAAAGTAGGCTCGCTAAAGCGGCGGGTGCGGAGCCAGCTGGCCAGCTGAGAGATGAAAAATTGCACGCCGTTGTGGCGCGAAGCACATTTCGAAGTCAGAATGTACAAAACAATACAAAACACAATTCTCGGACCACTTTTGGAAATAGAGATGTCGAAAAAGTGCACGCTGTTGTGGCGCGAAGCACATGTCGAAGTCAAAATGTACAAAACACACCAGCTCCGGACCACTTTTGGAAGTTGCGATGTCGAAAAAGTGCATGTCGTTGTGGCGCGAAGCACATTTCGAAGTCAAAATGTTCAAAACACCTCAGTGTCGGACCACTTTTGGACGTTCAGATCCCGTTCCGCGTTGCAGGCGCAAGGGATTGTGGACCTTGTCAAAAGGGAGCAAAACGTGAGGGTTTTGTAGCATTTCCAAAAACGATGGCAAGCGTATGCAAGCGTGGGACATTTGAAGAAGATCTGCAAAGATGCATTTTCCGTGGCCGGCGCAGTACAAGAGACATGTTCATCAGAGCTATTAGGAGGTCCCGGTGCTGATTTCCTGAGAGGGGTTGCATTTTGGAGCATTTGATCTTCAGTTTTGGGCACATGATTTTGCGTGACAGGTGCAGCACTTCGTATGACCTGGCATCACTTTTTCGTGGCAAGCACAGTACTTTATACAGGTGGGGTGGAAAAATCGCAAAACGCATTGGTACGAGGCCGTCAGCTCTGCACTCAACTTTCTATTTTTGCAGGAAGTCTCGCAGAATTGCTTCGTTTTTGATGTTGTCAATTTCAAAACATGAGGAAGTCTCGCAGAATTGCTTCGTTTTTGATGTTGTCAAGTTACAAAATTGAGGAGTCCCGCAGAATTGCTGCGTTTTTGATGTTGTCAAGTTCAAAAACTGAAGAAGCCTCTCGCAGAATAGCTTCGTTTTCGATCGTGTCAAGTTCAAGAACTGAGGAAGTCTCGCAGAATAGCTTCGTGTTCAAGCTTGCAGATAGATAGATAGACAGACAGAGAGATAGACAGAGAGAGAGAGAGAGAGAGATAAGAAAGAAAGAAAGAAAGAAAGAACGAAAGAAAGATAGATAGATAGATAGATAATGATAGATAGGTATAGGTAGATAGATAGATAGATAGGTAGACAGACGGACAGACAGAGAGAGAGAGAGAGAGATAGATGGATACATAGATAGATAGGTGGGTAGGTAGGTAGATAGTCAGAGAAAGAAACAGAAAGAGAGAGAAAGAGAAGAGACCTCAACCACCTCTCGGTCCATCAGTGGCTTCGCTCTGCCATCCGTGATTCACAACAACCAACCTCCCCTATACGTTTCCTATTTTTGAAACTTCCGCCACCGCCTTGTGCGGTACTACTGGTATATTTTGAATTATATATTTTGGAGGTTTATGTCATACATATATTTATATCTATATTTATATATTTGATATTCTATATATTTTAAAAATGTTTTTTGTATTATATGTTTTTTTGTTTGCATATATTGTGTTTTACTATATTGTACTATTACATTTTATTTTTAATTCATTATTTGTTTTTTTTTTATTTTTATTATTGGATTATACTATATTATATTATTTTAAATTATTGTATTTTATTATATTATATTATGATATTTTTTGTATTATATTATGATATATATTCTATTTTAGATATATATATATTAAATATGTTTACATTACATTTTTCATTGTATTATTGTATTACATTTTATTTTTTATATTTTAATACCTTGTATATCTACATTATAATTTTAAACATATTACATACATATAGAGGTATGTATCAACAATTGTCTCAATCAGTGGCTTTCTTGGATTTGTTCATCTGCATAAAGTTTAGTCAGGTTCAGCATTTCTCGCGTGTTTTTTGGGAATTGTTTAGGTGTTGCTAAGGAAAGAAGGGCAATCAAACATGGAATGTACTTTGATGTGCCCTTGTGACCGCAGAACCAATCGCAAGTGAAAGAGATTACAGAAAAGTGCACGATGTATGAAATGATATATATATATAATTATATATATAATTCAGTGTTTCACATCCCTGCAGCCAATGTTCATTGTGGGAGTTGTTCACTGAAGCCGTCAGGTACTGCGCGCGAAACCCGCGATTACGAGATCCGAAGGCGGAACATGGCCCCCTTCACAGATTACAAACTATGAAAATGCTGATGATTTTCCAGCACTGGTGTTGAATTAGACTGTAGCCGTGGAGAACAGTATCCGTTCTGCTCGACTCAGCTGTGCTCGGATGTTCCTCCATGCGACCTTAACCTTGCTTTCGCTGGAGTCTTGAACAGTCAGGAAAAACGGACGAATGGAAGTCGACAGCAACAAACACAATCATAACCACAATGGCAATCATAACAGCAACCAGGACAGCAACCACAACAGAAACCACGACAGCACCACAGCAACCACCACAGAAACCACCACAGAAACCACCAACCACCACAACAGCAGCAATAGCAACGCAGCACAGCTAAGTCGATGCTGATTAGACATGCGGTTGTTTAACTTTCGACCCATTTCTTGAGTTTGAAAGGCCAAGTGACATGTTCTTTTGAACGAGCCTATTTTTTTAAAGCATTTCAGGGTGGTTGGCGGTCTGTGGGTTGGGTGCCACAAATGCAGGGGATGTTTGATTGATCATACCTATTTTCACTGTAAACTCCCTGCTTCAGCGATGTCAGGCACTTCCGTTGTTGGTCCGGCAGGGAGTGCCGCAAGATTTGCGGTGTGAGGCTGGGCAGCCTCACCTGTCATAGGGATTCATAGTTTTTTTGTTGCTCTCCAAGCTCTTGCAGCCATTGATTGTTTGTTGCATTTCGCGCCTTCAAACCTGTACCTTGTTACTGTATATAATCCTCTAATTCTTTGATGATAGATGCAGTGGCTCACAAGGGGGCAAAACCTGGGAAGGTTTGGCCAGGACACTGCAAATGTGCTACAACTGTGTATTCACCATTATTGAGAGAGAGATGAGTGGAAGGCAAAATGTATGTTTGTTCTGAGGAGTAATCAATTCAATACTTCCTAGATTTATCTGTGCTTGATATTAATGCGTGATATAGTGGTTTGACACGATTTGATGTTGCAGAGAGCACCCCTCCATGCCACAAGCTGCTTCAGGTTTGGTCTCATTGCTTGGGCCTTCCAACGCCAAGTGCAGGCCTCGCGCAGCAGGACTCACCTGGTACCAGTTCACACCACTTGGCACTCGACAGTGCGGAGAGTAAAGTACCTGCAGCTCTCTCCTTTCCAACAGCACAGGGATCGGGAAATCAAACAGATGCGGCCTCTGGATATTTCAAGGGATGCAACTGATCATGTTGCAAATGGTTTCCACCCTTCGTTACACGACATGTGGGAACGATATCTACACATTTAAAACACCGACATGTCCTACGCCTAAGTGATGCAATGAACGGCAAAAAGCGGGTCGACCACCCAACTGATTGACCCATTCCAACCACATGGAAGCCTTCGTCGCACCGCCAATCCACCAGCTTCATGTTGGTGCTTTGGCAGCCCCAGCAGCCCCAGCTGCCCCGGTGGATGGTGGCAAGAGGAGAAGGCACGAGTACATCGTGTGGCGTCGCTTAGTACGTTGGTGGGTCGAAATATGGTTAACTCTTAACTTAAACGTTTAACATTGCTTCCCTCAATGTATTCCAGCACCAGTTGCAAATGTTGGCACAGGTCTAGTTGGAGAATGCCTCACAAACCGTCAGTCAGTCATGATGTGATTTGAGCATCATTGTGCTTACCGCTGAAACAAGCTGTTCCATGGTTTTAACACTTTTTGCATTCAACTGTTGATTTTCAATTGGCGCCTCTATTTGACAAGAACTGGATAGAAGTAAATCAAAATATTATGGCCATTGTCTCGCTCCTCAGTTAGGCTGAGGCAGACTGGAGAGACAGAGACAGAGACAGAGAGACACTATAAACAGGAAAAAATGGAACAACAGATGACATAGAAAGAAATAAACATGAATAGATGATCCCAACTGCCTCATTTTCAGCTGGGGCGCAGGTTTTCTCGTGGGCACTGGTGCTTTGCCAGCGGAGCTGTGGCTGGAGCTTTGGCAGTTCGAGGTCCCTGGAATGACAAAGTCATCCTGGATCCTGGCATATCCTGGCATTTTGGGGCGGAGAACACATGAAAAAACATGAAAAAAACAACAGAAAACCAGAAAACCAACAGAGAATCAACAAGACCAAGAGGAATTCCAAGGAATTCCACCATTCCCAATGGATCCAGGCGGACGGCCTGTGGCTGTAAAGGCGACGACCGCAATAGTACCTGGACTTGGTACCCGAAGCGGATAGGACAAGGATGATAACAGTGGAAAATTGACGAGAAAATATGGGAGAATCATGATGTATGATGATGTTCCGATAGTAATATTGGTGATTTGATACTGATAGTGATTATGGATGATGAACATGATAGTAAAATTGTTCTGTTACTTCCTATCGTTACCATTTGTCCACATGACTGGTGGATGAGCGCCCAAAACCATTTTTTGGGGATTCCATGTTCATTGGAGTTCAGCGATGTGTCTACTGTTTTTGGAACTTGGAACATCTTAGTTTAGGATTTTCTAAAGGCTGTTCACCCAAATGCATTGGAAGTGGCCATGGTTTGAACAAGAAATGACTGCGCAGTCCAAACATGTCCAACTTGATCGCAATGCAATGGATGGTTTGTTTTTTGTGTTTTTACCGCTGTCTTTTACATTCTTGTGATTCACGCCCAGTTGGGCTCACGTGACGTGCTCAGGAAGAAAACACGTATCCAAAAACCTGGAGCAACCCATCTGGCGCGGTGCTGCTGCAGTTGCAACCAGATCTTTGGGTGGCGGAGCGGCCCTTCGTGTGGAATAGTATCGATGTGTCATGACTGCAGGTGGCTCAATAAAGATAGGACATGATCGGCAACATCCTTTGGGGTCATCCCCCCAAAAGAACAAACTAGATAATCTATATAGATAAAAATATAATTATAGAATATATATATATATACATAATATATATATATTATATATGGTCACCTGCATACAGACCTTATAGGTTTAATGTTGATCTTCCTTGAAATCTGGAAAATTCATCGGTCACCCCGGGTTTTTGTCGGCCCAGGTGGGTGGAAAGATGGCGGTGATTCGCCTGACCGATGGCTCCTTGTGGGTCCACTCGCCGGTGAACTTCGATGAGCCGCTGAGGTGCCGAGCAACGGGCACAGCCTGAGATCAAGATATCCAGGTTTTTTATATAAACAATGTCTAGTAGATTGGACACACATATATATATATACATAATAATAATAGTATATATATATGAGCCTCCATATATTCATATATAATCATCAACCAACCATCATTCATTCATCAATTGTATATATATAAATGTGTGTGTGTGTGCGTGAACAGATTCAGGCAGCTGTTGATGTCCTGTTGTCACTGCGGCAGCTGTGCACTCTTTTCTCTGTTAGGCTCTGTTGAATCACTACAGGCTCAAGGCCTGTTGAACCAAGATGTTGTCCACGACCATGTTCTTTTGACAGAACTGTTGCATGCTGTGTGGAACAGTGTTGTACTTGTACTTTAACTTTAACAATACGTGTATATGTATATATATATATATATCCCCAGAGTGATGGTTAAACTCACAGAATTAATAGATAATGTAGGCAACCCTAAACCCTAAACTTACCAGGGCCTACCAGTTATATAGATATGTTTGGATCCATTAGGGGATGGTTGATACCACCCATCAAAAATGATGATTTAATGGCTGTTAAGTCAGGGGTGTATAATGGGCTACGACGGTATCACTAGCAACATCATTGATATTAAAGTTGAAGTCTCCGTTATGTAGCCAGGGGACCTGGAGCTGCTTCATGCTAGGGGGAAGGGTTCAGATCCATAAATGTCGACACCATACCCCGAATTTGTATGTGTTGTGCGGGTTTTGTGATTGCGGTAATTATCATGAAAGATCACAAAACAGACATATAGATGCAGAGATCGAGACACACCCACTACTGTATAAATATAATTAAATATTTACATATACACACCCACTCTCTCTCTCTCTCTATATATATATATATCTGTGTGTGTGTGTCATTACATATAATGATCTCTCTCTCTCTCTCTCTTTCGCTGGGCGTGGCAGTCCATCTGGCCATGTCTGACCGCTTTGTACCGGGTGAATCCAATTCCCGCCGCGGCTCCAAGGCGAGCTTTGAAGGAATTGGGTCCTGTGAAACACATCGTTTCGCCAAACTTTGAGCACGTGAAATGGGCCAAGCAATGGAAAGAGGTCAGCTCGGCTGCAACGGGCAGCTCAGATTTGGGCACAAGGTTGTTGGCCCTTTCCGGTATCCTGAAGGATTAGCCTTCCGCGTCAATGTGAAGTTGGACATGCAAAAAAGCAGATGAAGCAATTGAATCATGTTGGTGACTGTTAGTGACCTGCTAGTGGTAGTAAAATCCTGCTCGATCACAGGTTCCTGGTGCAGTGGTATTGTCAATCATATTGCGTCTCGTTCACGGTGAAGTGACATTCCCTGTCCAGCACAGGCGTTTCCAGATGCAATTCTATGGGGCACACCTGGCATCATGGTGGAATTAAGCCTGCCAGCGGAGATGTGTTCCCGTATGTATTTTACACACCTTTTTCTTGAGTTAAGGTTTGTGTTCACCTTTTCAGACACGGCGCCAATGAGAAATCTGATGTGTTTGCTAACAACGTGCGGGTTTGTCACATCCAGTTGGTATCGATTGCAATTGTAATGATCATAATCACTTTCAAGAATCTGATGCTCAAGCTGGTTATGTATCCTTTGTTTGATCCATCAATGAGCTAAGCAAAATGACAGTCATAAAATTAAGTTGTATTCTTGAACATGCGACATACTACATGCCTTCATATCTTCATGGTGCGCTCCATGTTTTGAGGTATGGTAGAGAAATTCCCGGAGATTCCTTTTGACCGTGAGCTTTCCACGTCTTCCATTTGCCCCCCGGAGTGGCAAGATCAACTGCAGATGTGCTTCGCTGATTGTGAGAGATCTCCAGCTGCAAGGGTGCAGGCGCAGGCTCGGTCAGATAAGCCAAGGGTTTTCTGATAATTTCTGATACATAAATATCAAAGATGGGTTTGTTTGAAATGTGATATACTTCCCCATGATGGCTATTTAGATCATATTAAATCATTTTAGCTGGGAAAGCTATGGGATGATAAACCGATGGAATGGGTATTTCCAGAAACAAAAACATTGATATCATTATGTTGTTTGTTCATGTATGCATTCACTTGTTACGTCTTTTATTTGTGTGCGTATGTTGATTTATGTCATGTTCTTACCATTATATATTTGGCCAATTTGGGTCATATTTCTTCAAAGTCATACATTTCTATCCATCATGGGTGCCATTTGGCAAGGGGTGCTACCAGCGGCATTTCGCTGGTGGCCCGTGGCCCAGCGGCCGTGGCCTCCTGAGGAACTCCTGTGATCGGCACACCGTTCTTCAACGAGGTGGTCTTTTACCACCGCAAGAGTGAGACCCTGATGACCACTGAGACTCCGACGAAAAGCAAAGATGAAATAAACCCTGGGTAAACGTTGGAAAACCCATGGGTTCCTCAGGAAAATCGTCTATATTGGATTGATGGTTGGAATCCCACCCATAGAAATGGTCTACTATTGGGGGTGGTAGATCATATTATATTGCTTTCATCCCAGCTCGGAAAGTTTCTGAGGACATTTTCTGGAGCTACCCCAATGACCTGCCATCTGGCTCCAAGCTTTGGAAGCTACTCGGATCTACTCATCATTCCAATATACTGGCTACCGATGTTCTTCCCGACCCATTAGAAGCCGACCCAGCCATGAAGATTTATTTTCTGATGTGTTCTCGCTTTTGTTTATATTTTTGTGATCGCTTGTCTTGTATTTTCCAACCGTCACCTTTATTGTCATGGCTTTGCCATTCGTTTTGCAATCGGCATGTTTGTTGCCATTTGCAAGTTGCAAGTATTTTATTTGGATTATTGCGTTGGTCATGTTGGGAGTCATGTTGCATCATTTCTGGCCACACCTTTGCCGTTGTTCTTCCGTTTTGATCGATGTTCATCGATTTTCATCAATGCTGTCAATGCTTACTACTTTTCGACAATTTTTGGAAAATCGAAGAAAAATAATGAAGACTGGTGGAAACAGCGAAATATTCACCAAGATCTGCAGAATCAGCTCCAAAATTACAAGAAGCTGACAAAGGAGAGACAAAAACAATGCCAACAGCAACAGTCGCAGACTTTGTTTGAATGCAATGGAGACGACCAAAAAAATACAACCAGGATCGCTTCCGACAAAATACTTTTTTGGCATTTCCAAGGTATGGCTGCAAGAGTTTCTTCCAAATCTAGCAATGCTCACAGTCCTCACAGTGGGCATCCTTGTTAATCCTGGCCACGCAATGCCACTTGCTCACTTGTAAGAGCAATTTGGTCCGGATTTGGCACCAACAAATCAGATCGTTCACTACAAAGAAAAACTAGAAGACCAACATTTGTTGGTCTGTCAGGGCATGTCAGGGCCTGTTCACATTTCCACTTTCCAGCCTGCCATAGGTTTTTGATGGACAAGATCTACCTTCCTTTTTATCGTCGCAGCTCGGCAGAAGCTCCGATCGTGCCTTTGAGGGGATTAGCCGCTGGCTGGGCCCCCAGAGCTGAGGTTTCATGGTGCGCAACAAGGCATCACTTCAGCAGGTCCTGGATACTGTGGCGGAGTGGCAGCCCAAAGGATTGTTGCCATGCCATGGCATTTATCAAGCCTCAGGAGAGGGTGAAAGTTTCATGAAAGATCATGAAAGATTGATAGCCATTCATAGCCTATAGTTTCAGCATCGATTTTTGATACCTTGATACCTATCCATCCGGAATTACTTTTTCAAGAGTAAACTGCCGCAGCTGCAGTTGGTGTTCAGCCCGTGAGGAGCTTCTGACACCTTCGCGGAGCACTTTTCTAGCTAGCTGCTGATAGCCGCAGCCAGACCCAGACTGACATTTGAAAAGACAGCAGGGCACTGGGAAGGAGGGATTTCCACTGTGCAGAAAAACATGAGAAAGCATTTCTGGCAGTGGAAACTAATTACGCTTCCATGACTTCCAGTACCAAGCAGGTTGCCTTACTGGACTGAAGCATTTTGTGGGAACGGCTGTGCGCAATCCGTAAGCAGTGGCCGCAGGTAGCACAGCAGCTGCACAGGAGCACGTCAAGTGTGCTTTGACCTTCGTGATGCGGTTAAGAAATGACTAGACTTGGGGGTTCCATTTTTTGCGATAAACTGCAGAAGGACGTTTGCATACAATGATTACCGTACCACATGGTACATCATGGTACACCGTGGCACCATGTTTGAAATGTCAAGCAATCGATTCACGTTTCCGCTTCTGTGCAGGGCTCCCTCCACCTAGATCATGATTCGGGTGTAAAACCACGATAAACCACGGGCCAGGAGGCAGTGGGAACCAGTGACACAGAGGAGTTGTTCGGAGCCCTGTTTCTCCGATGGGCTTGGTTGGGCCACTGGTGGTGTGGAGTGTGGTGTAGCATCCTCTGTGCCATGCAGCAGAAGCAATTCTGACCACATGAGCGCTGGTGTTCCAGTGGCAGTAGGTGAGTATGGGATGAGGGACGTACTGTGGACACTGAGCGTGACCACAATTATATTTAATATATTCATTGCTTGGGCCAAGTGAGCAACTTTTAAGGGAATCTGCTTTGATCAGGCAGGGGGCGCACCTTGCTGCACGTTGGCTCCGGGTAAGACGACAGATGTGACCTCCCAAGATTGACATCCATTTCCAAGTTATAGATGCCTACTGCAGACTCTTCTGCGCAATAGATCTCGTCCCAAGCTGCTCGTCCTTGATTTTTGCTGGCCTTGAGGCCTGCGTCCATCTTGGACGTGATCGAGGCCTTGTCAACCGCTGGGTAGGGGCAGTTGATGGCCGCGCTTTCTCAGTGAAAGTCAACCACCGGGCAAACCTTTGTTGCGCACCCGATTGGTTTGGTGTTTTACACAGGGATGTGCTAGAAAATAAAAACTATTGAAAGCTAAAACAGTTGCAATCTAAGATATTGAAGATAACCAATGACCAGAACGTTCAGCCATACCATGCAATACCCATACATCACATGTGTGCAAATATCTGTATACGTATTCACTGGAGACCTGCATTCCGGATTCCGGCCATCTTGGGAGCCTCTGGTGTAAGGCAGATGTCGCCCGCACCTTTCCCAACGACAAGAAGTTCCAGGTGTGAAAGCAGCGGGGATAGAGTATGGACCAAACATGCGGATTCATTTGATATTGTGTTCATTAAGTGATATCACCCAATTGCAACAGAGCACAATGATTATAAACAATCATAGTTGACAAAGATTGCTTGAATCCATTTGGAACCCTCCCAATGTCATTTGTCATCCATTCCCAGTGATTCAACGATCCACGATCCACCTGCAGGAGTCCGGAGGTCCTGAGAGCCTGCGTCAGGTCGGCCTCAGATCTTTGACGGGTGAGGTCCCTGCAGGGGATGCTTCAGATTGTCGACAGCACAATGATGGGAATGATAACAACACTGATGCATGTTTGCCTTTTTCTATGTAAGTATGTAAAAGCGTAAGTATGGATATAATTGTGTAATGTTGTGTGCATACTGATATGTATATATAATTACATATATTCTAGCAGCATATGTATGCATATCTTCATATACATGATTAAATGTGTGTGTGTGACCGTGTTTATGTATATATATATATATATGTGTGTGTGCGTGTGTGTTTGTGCGTGCAAGCATATAAACATACACATTGTACACGTACCTATGCAATTATACATATTAAAATCATAATACATGATATACAATAGAGACACGTTCTTATCAAGTTATGACGACGCTTTCTTATTGCCCTACGAGGCCTTCATTGTCTTCAATCATTTCCAATGAAGCCCTTGCAAAGGTGCTCATTGAGCTGGCGAAACAAGACAAGGAGCTGGGCTACTGCCAGCCAAGACCTCGGGCTCCTGGTGTTGAGGGAATGTCACTGTCGTTCATAAAAGATAAGATAATTTTGTGATATGAGGATTGTTCATGATGCTGAATGATAGTTTGAATTATCATGATATTCATGAGTTTGTTGATTTGATTGTCTTGATTTATCTTGTTTTATCTAACAATGATTTTATTGTTCATGACATGAATTGTTCTGATATACCGCCAGTTGCATTGATTGCAGTGCATACTGAGTTGAATGGCATCCAGGAGGGCGGTTACCACTGTTCAGCAGGTACGTCTTATTGGAGCCCAAAACTGAATCCATCACGGTGGTAAGTTTCACAAAGTGTAATGTTTATCCATAGTCTCAATCCCAACCAACACTATAAAACTGAAGCTCCTTGAAAACCTTGTTGGTGGTCATTGCTCCAAGGTCCTTGAACTTCATCGCAGCCAACTTTCTGATGGTTCTCAGCAGTCAAGAGATGGTGCAGAGCACGGGACAGTGGTTTGAAGTTTGAACTCGGTGCCGGCGCAAAATCTACGGTTTCTTGAGCCCCTTTGGCAATGACAGAGCGGCCTAGTGATGCTACCCGCCTAGTTACGGGCCAGAACTCTGAGTTTTTTTTTTATGTTGTCCAAATCCACCTTAGATATCTCACAATGTGCCTTGTCTTACCCTCTGTGGGGGAATGGTACCCATTCAATTCAACTTTGGATTCTTGGTGGCAATCGTCCTATCTTCTTGGCCTGCCATGATGCGGAAGGCACTCGCAGCAGTGCGACAGCTCATCATGAAATTGCAGCCGATGCCTTAAGGCTTTGGAGCTTTTATTCAGGCTGTAAACGCTTCCCATCAAGGGATTGAGGGATCCTGGCTGGCCCATTAAAGTTATTGGGTCCACAGACGCCAGGTTTGTATATAACAAACCGCAAAAGGTGACCCCGAAACGCCGCCGCAGCATGGCTAGGACTCGCCAATGGTACACTGATGGCATGCGACAGCTGCGCAGGGAATCCCAAGAGCCCCCGAATCATTTTCACCACAGTTGGTTACAGCGTGAAGTGGTGGACCCAGAGAAATCGTTCCTTATCGTAGCAAGCGTCTCCCAAAACCGAGGTGGTGACACTGCTGTTTTGGAGGAGACGAAGGGTGATCTTTGCTCTGAAACTTCAGTCTGATTCTGGTGAGGAGATGGTGAGAGAAAGGCTGCCAGCAGTTCATCAGGTGCTGACTCTCCACAGGTTGGAGCTGCGAGTTGCAGTGGCTACTTTTTGAATTCCCCATATGTCCAATCCCCAGGAAATCTTGACACGAGACTTGCGAGACTTGCGAGACGTGTGGGGCAGGTTCGACTTTCTCTTCGTGACCTCCAAGTGGCTGCTTGGCCAAGGATTGCAGCGAGTGAGCCCCCTGACTGCCACCTGGATCAGGTTTTTGTGCCTTTTTGCAGCGACTTTGACAGATGAGGCCGCGATGAACCAAGGGCAGGGACGTTTGTTGGACTTCCAATGGTGCTTTGGCGACCATATTTCGATCTGACAGTTTGTTCTGCAGCTTTCAGGGCAATCACTCGCAAGCTGGTGATGGTAACATGACATCTCATTGGCATCTCAATACATATAGTATCATATAGTTTTGCAAACCAGCAATTTTTGGGCTGCTGTTTGCCGCGAGGAAATAATGGCCTCTAAGCCGCCTTCCCAAAAAAGTCATCGACATTTTCACTCCGACCTCCGACCTTTTCTGTACAACTTTGTTTCCCCGGCCATTCTTCTGCATTCAGCAGCCTTCAAACGCTCTTCCCTGCCAATCGTTGTCGGTAGTTGTATCATGTCATCTCCAATCTCGTTCATACCATGAATTAATGTATAACACGTACAAACCCAATCAAACCCATATATATATAATATTATAATATATTGTAACTTAATATCATATAGCTGTTTTTAAATGTAATATACTTTAATATATTATATATATACACATTTTAATGACTAATGTAATACAATAGGCAATATATATATATAATATGAAAAATAATTTAATGTAATAGAACAAACTATAACGTAATTCAACAAAATATAATATAATAAAACATAATTAATATATTAATTAATATAACGTAATAGTCAATATAATGTGATATAATATGATTTAATTATTAATATAATATAATATAATATAATGAATCTGAATGTAATATAATTTGATATATGTCATAGTACAGTATGATATATTGTAGTACAATACAATAATAGATGATATAATATAATCTAAGATCACATAATACATTATAATATAAAGTATAATTTAGAATAATAATGTATCATATTTTAATACAGTATAATACAAGATTATTATATATAATGTAATATCATAATATATAACAAGGTTATTAAAACAATGCAATATAATATATTATAATACCATACAATATAATAATATTTCGTGTAGTATGATTTATTATAATTTAATAAAATATAATCTACTGTAGTGTAGTATACAACATTTAATTTAATATATTATAGCATACATTAATGTGATACAATATATCATACTGCAATATATTATGATATCATTTAATTTAATGTAATCTCATTTAAATGTAATATAACAATTTGTTTATTGATAATGTAATATAATTTACTTTATATATGATATAATAGTTATATGATATATCTATGTACAAATAATCACACACACACTTCTCGCACACGTGCCTCCATGTGGACTTATTTGGGTAATTTTGGGGTCAAGACAAGTGGATGATACACAGACAATAGTAGCATTGCAATTTACTAAAGATCCATAGATGGCAGATGTTTTTGCAAATCTGGTTTTGGAATTGATGTCCAGATGTCCACGTTTTCACTGGAGGTGTTGAGACGTGTTTGGGACGTGCTCTTGGTGGACGGCATCGAGGTGGATTGGAGCATGCAAGATGTGACTTTCAAAATCCTTCAAACCTGTATATAACTGTAGCCATAATACATGGTGTTATAAACTAACATATATACAGGTATATAACTGTAGCCAACCTATACTAATCTCATAATTGATGTTTGCTATGTTTGTTTGATTCTGATTGCCTCTCATTGCCCTTTAGTTTGTCCACGCACGGTGATGGCTGAATGAAACCATTTGAAGCGACCACTTGCACTTGATTCAGTTACTGCAGTATCAATGAATATCATTCAGTAGTACTTTGATATTATTTAATAGTAGGTTTAAATGTGTTTGAAAGGGACATGAGGAATCAACTGTGTTTGTGCAGATGAAGCCATCTGCCATGTTCTGAGCCGAGGCGGTCTTCCGGATTTCAATTTCTTTGTTTGCTCCTCATTTCCAATGGGCGGGAGCCTCCCTAATCGCCTGGCCGTGTGGCGATGAAGCCACCGAGGTTTGCGTTGCATCAGGAGTCAATCCTGTTCGGATCTCAGCTGCCACGTGCCGATCACCCAGCTGCTGGATGCTGAAGATGACCCAAGGCAGGTGAAGTCTGAAGATGGCCTGATACACATGATGCAGGAGATCTTTCCTGCGTCTCAAGGGCAGTAGCCACTGAACCATACTGAACCCAATTTCACAAGGATATTTATATACTAGTATATGCAAGTATCATTGTTTATGAATTCTTTGTGAATCCATCATGCTCCGTCATACTCTAAAATAATAGGTCATAATCCGTCATAATCCATCCAAACAGACAAGGATTTCCTTATAGTAACCCAAAAACAGGATGGAACACATTTCTACCATTAATGTGGTGGGATTTTGAAGTGTTTCCATCTTTTTGTGGGGGGCGTTTAAGATCGTTTAAGACTGCTTAAGCATTTATTGACTCCCACGTGCCATCGCCAGGACTGGCAGCCTGATTGCTCGCCAGAGGTGTTGATTCAGAACGCTTACAGCCCAAGCCTTGTTGGGTTCGGGTGACTCAGACGTGGCGTCGTGTTGATGCAGTGGGCCATCCATGGCCATCCTATCTATTTATCGATAATGATCCGGTGATCGTGTAATTATGTATATTATATACATACATGTGTGGTTGCTATATATATATATACATATGCACACACACACATATATATATAATTATATATATATGTGTGTGTGTGCCATTTGGATCAGCCTGCACTCTTTCCAAGTTGAGGTCAATTGGCCGCTTGGAGCTCGATCAGCGCCGGAAACGCGCAGCAGAAGCGATACTTGGCGTAGCTTTGGACTAGACTGGGACTTGAAAATGCACCAACTGACTTCTCATGACTTTTACTCACAGTATCTATGGGACAATTGTGACATAATTGTGGGATCCTGGGATCTGTGTGGGATTTGGAATAATGGATCATATGAGTTGCAGATTTGCAGCCCAGAGCATGTTGCACGAATTCACAGGAAGTCTATGCCTCTGCTTTGGGCGGCATGGAACTTGCATGATTCAGGAAGGAACTGCTAGAACCAAGACACTGATTCCTGTAGTAGAGCAGCTGTGTTCAGTTTGAATGCCAATGAATTCCACATATTCTTAGCGAGGTGAAGAAAATGGGTTGAGTGGAATCATTTGGACAATTTTACTCTGCAGGCTACACAGTCCTTCCAGCCTGCATCAGATGTCAGTTTCCAGCCCAGGATCTCCAACGTCTTTTCCTCAGAGCAGAGTGTCAAAGCTTGTGCACATCAACAGTATCCAATAATCCCCAAGAATTGTCATAAGACCAGATCTAAATTACTTTGTATAACAAATCATAACAAATCCCCGGAGACATATGTATGTATATGTTATAACTTATATAATGCTAAACACACACACATATCATATATATATATGTATATATATCTGTATGTACACATTATGCCAGCATTATGTATTTGAGATGATGTTAGTTCAGCATTGCTGCAATGCAGCGATGCTTCACTCTCCAGCCAAAAAAGGCCGATGCACGGGCTGAGATGAGAGCCACACAGTTGCGGAGAGGAGGCCGCCGCATCCAACACCTTTGACAGGTCATGTTGAAAACACCACAGGAAGCGAAGGAAGCAACCACAAGCAGCCAGAAACGTGATGGTGGATACGTGATGGTGGATTCTATAGGTAAATGATGGTAAATGAATCAATGAAGCTTCGTTATACCGTTATTTGCTACCGCAATGTAGGCAAAGTACTCCATTGGATGGTTGATACATGTTACATGATGATACTAGAAATTACCAAATCTGCAGTTCCCTAGGGGCCCCCTGCTTGTCGTCAGCCAAGGTGTTAGACCCGCCTCAGTGCTATCACGCCAGTGAGGGCTGTGAAAGACTTGTGGTTCAATGTCAAGTCAAGTCGGTTTGAGTGCATGTTGCATCATGTTATTACCCATACATATACCCCACATCTCTATGTGAAAGATTGTGAAACTGGTCAGGATATCAGCCTGCAATGCCTTGCATATGGCCTACACTTCAGACATCTTCAGACTTTTGGGGTTTTAGGATTTTTTAGGTGATTTTAGTATGTTTGAGTATTGTTCTTGTTTTATAGTCAGTGCATTCGAACCGTCCATGCCTTGATGTGCTGGATAGGTTAATAGCCATTGACAGCCATTGGAATACTTCGCTGTAGAGTGTGAGGCGTTGAATCCTCCTTGACCCAATTGGCTTTGCTTGAGATATCTTGAGATCAGCTTGCAGAATTAGATGCAACGATTCCGGGTTTCACATTCCGCCTGGAAATTCTCAGGAGCAACGGAGCAACATGTTTTGACGGCTGCTTGTAATATGCTATGGATCCACCTCGAATCCTCGAAGTCGCTGGCGTCCTCTGAGAATCCCGCAAGAACATATTCGATTCTATTGATTCCCCCCCCCACAGTTTTGCAGTTGGAAATAGTTAGAAGACCTGGTCTTCTAAATGTTTTAGACGTTGATTTTGTTGGATTTTGTTGGTATTTTCGAGGTCTTTGCTGCATCATCTGATCAAACAGCTACACATTGGATAAGATTGGGCATGTGCGAGAAGTTGCCGAAGTTGCCGGCAAACTACCAACTATGGCACAACAGAATAATAAAGTAAGGACTAGTAAGGTTCAGTGGAGGTGCTTGACTTTGGAACTCTTTGGCCAGATTGTTGGGCGGCACTATTCGCCGGATTTCCCCGGTACTCCTGGGGATCTGCTGGTGGACCCCCATGAGATGCTCTACCATTCGGCCCCTGCGATATGTGGCTCAAGCTTTCACAAGATGATGTTGCCAACTTTCAACCTTAGACAATTCCTAGGGAAACTGGCATGGGTTCCTCGAAAAGGACTCTTTTGTTTGTGCCAACGATTCATGGACCTGGAGTCTTTTCATGCGACTTCGTCCCAACGCTGCAGTTCAGAAAGTGGAGGTGCCTAACTTTGTAATTCTTTGGCCAGATTGTTGGTCATTGTTGGGCATTGGGCACCATCCCCCGGATTTCCCCACTTGATAGCAACCCTCAGGGGGTCTCCTCGGCCGCATGGAATGTGTTGTGCCCTTGCTGACGGCCTCGGAGCCGCTGATGGTGGCACATCGCTGCGGCGGAGGGGAGGCGCCTGAGAACACGTTGGAGAGAGCCTTGGCAGCGAAGTTTTGTTCCGGAGATGGCATGAGATTATCATGCTCTATAGATTTCTATAGTTTATTTATGTTTATTTGAAGTTTACTATGATATTTTGGGTCGATGTGGTATCATACTTTGCGTGCCAATGTCGGTATAATGTCCAATAAAATGTAATATAATATCTATTTATATTTTTTCTAACTTATTCTATCGTGTAATGAAGTGTAAGATAATGTCATGTAATGAAATGTATGTGTGTTCGCCGCTCCGGCGGCCTTCCGCGTACGTTTTGGCACACTGTAAACGCCTGCTCGTGGCAGGAGGTTACACAGATCAAGTTTTGGCCACGGGCTCGGTGTCGTTCGCAGACCATGTTTCTTAAGGTATCAGGTACTGCTTGAACTTGAAAGTGCCCTTGATTCAGCTCGATGTCACCCGGCCTCAGTTTATCTCGGTTTCATAAGTTTCATGAGGTGTGCCCAGGCTGTTTCAGTGAGCATTTCCATGATTTTCCATGTCTCGGGACCCCTCTGTAGCATTCTGTAGCCTCATGTAGCCTCCAGCCATGTGGTGTTTGATTCGCAAGACTATCAGGATGGATCAAATTTAGGTCATGCACACGAAAGATGAGAAGGTGGTGCTCTTTCATGATGTGCCTGTGGAGCGAAACATGGAAAAACTCACGGGCGTGACAGGGCAAATTGGCGACTTCAACTATTCTGAGCTTCCTGTCTTCAAGGCAGTATCTCGGTAGAGTGGCTGAAGATTGTTGTCACTATTTTCAGGTTTCTTCTTTTGCTTATGTTTTACTTTGGTTGCTCTCCTTTTGCCTTGAACAACTCCAGTCCGGGTGTTGAGCCCAGGAATTCCAGCCGAACGCATTTTGCCCGGAAGATGCACCTCCTGTGAAGGTGAATCATCGGCAGGTGAGCCTGTTTGAGGATGCGTGCAAACTTCTGGCGGGAAAGACACTTGGATTCCTGACATGTGGTTTGACCGTTTGACCCTCCAATAGAGCCCGTGGGCACAGGATGGCGAAGGTTTGAAAGTAATTAGTCAGCGGGTTCCTTGGAACATGTTGGAACCAAGGAATGTTGGCATCATCTTGGAGTTTTGGCAAGTGACTTGTCCGGTCTCCGGCTACAGTGCTTTGAATGCCTTTAGTCGTTTGGATACCATATAACATATATATAACATTATATAACTCTCATCATGTCTAATCCAATGTCACGCTTTTTTAGATATGTGTTAGCTTCTGGGATGTCGTTTGCACGCTTTATTTGGCACGCTTTGGCTTTGGCACTTCCAAAGCCTTCGGCAACCACGCCACGAAGGAATCTGAGTCATTGGTTCTCCATGTGGTAGAGATGCTTCGTCGTCATGGCCTACTGAATCAGATTGCAGCTTGGGGCTCTCCGGAGATCTGACATTTGCTTAGTCAGACATGTCAGACATGTTTGGGGAATATCAAGGGGGACTTAGAGATCTTAGAGATCCTTTTTTGATGTGTTCAGGTCTGTTTGTCATTGGGTTTGCACGATCAATGGTGTGCGTCATAATTGCCGCCGCTCTAGGAGAAAGTGACCATTCAATCCTGGTGCCGCACGGCGTGCCCCGAAATCCCTGTGTTGATGCTTGATGTGGAAGCTTTTGCGTTAGTTTTTTTCAGTGAGAAATTGAAGTGAAATTGATACAGCACATGGGAGTTTGGATGGGGATGTAACTGGCAAAAACATGTGGATTCAAAGTTGATTTGAATTTGAGAAAAGAACGGACGGATGTTACACGTGTACCCTACTTGGATATGGGAATATGGATCAAATGATTGATCTCCATAACATCGATGGTTACAGATTCTAAAGGTGACAAGTTTTATGGGTGCATTGGTATGCTGCTTTGACCCTTCCCACAATGTATGTATGGTATTGTTCTATATTGTTCTTGCTGTTTGGCTCCAATCCTTTTGCTTGCACTTACAAATTCAACAGTGCAACCAGATGTCTAGGACATTTTTATTATTGTTGCCTTGCAAATCCTTGCAATGGTTTCCCAGTCATTCCAGTGACAATAGCTTCTCAGATAGGCCGTTCACAAATCTTCTCATGTCTGTATTTTTTGTTCTTATTGTCAAGGTAGAAATTGGTCCTGGCAATTATGGGACACCAAATGAGGATCACGCTTGCGCAAGCCTTCCGCGTGTGGACATGTTGGAACTTGGGTTTTCATTGCATTGGCTCCCTGGGCCGATGGCTGCCTTTCTTGGTGCAGGGTCCCATGGTGTTCAACGTGCCACACATCAGTGAGCCTACCTTGCCAAGAGTGCGCGCATGCAGTTTTCACATGTTCCATGTTTTTACGCTTTGTGCAAGTGCTTGCATACAATACTTTGTGTATCTTTATGTTACGACTAACTTGGGCATGTGTTTTGCTCGCTGTGCTCTGCCACACCCGAGGAACCTTGGTATGGAGCGCTTTGCAAATTTGCCAAGACGGACTCACATTCGAGATCCGTCAAGACTTGTATCATTGGAAGCTTGCTTTGCTTGTTGAAATGCTGGACAGACACGCCCCGTCTATTTCTGCACCTCGCAACACGCTACAACGTGCCTACTATTCTTTTCATTGCGAATGACAGCACATCAGTGAAGAAGTGCTGCTCATACAAAGGTGTGAATGCTGTCCAGACGGATTATCCCAAGAAATTCATGCCAATTTTTCAGCACACATGAAAAAGCAAGGGTTACGGGTTGCTTGAAATGTTTAAATCGATTATCAAATGCATCTACACATTACTTTTTCCGAAAGGGACTAAGCTGCGAAATATAGGTCCAACATGGCCCAACATACAGGCTCAAGATGGGTCAAACATGGGCCCAAAATGGGAGTTACATAGGCTCAACATGGGTGCAAACCATGCACTACTGTACAGGCTCAACATGGCAGAACAAGGGAACAACTTGGGCTCAACATAGGCTGTTTGTTCACAATATGGCCATACTTTAAACCGTTCAATGCAATATCAGCAACCCAAAAGAAACATGCCAATAACATCCAATAACCAAATATAATATATATAAAATTATATAAATATATATAATGTTTTATCGCGTTTTGTATGGTTTTGTCACATTTACGCAATATTACGCAAAACCTATGCCAAACCTATGTTGCACCTTTATTGGTCGTTTGCGGGATCCCGGCATTAAGCCCATGTTGGGTCGATATTGGGTCATTTGCAGCTTATTTTGTGCTATGTTAGCCGGGCTTGGCCTGCCTTGGGGCTATGTTACGCTCATATCCACATTTAGGACACAAATTCAATGTGAGAGCCTGATTGTAGGCTTTTACATCTTTTAACATCAAAATTTAAAAAAAGGAGTGTTTTGGCTCTGCATGGCCAGGAAACATCAAGTAGGTCCAAACATGCCCACACTATATAAGCTCAGCGTTTAGGTCTTTGGGCACAAGAAACACATCTGCCAAGTGGCCAAATGCGGGCTCAACATACGTCAAAAATCAACCCAACATTGCCACAACATCCGCCAAGATGGCATATAACAAACATTGCCCAAAATGGAAATAATATAAAATAATATAGGTTGAACATGGGTCAAACACAACCCAGAGCACACACTTCCGACGCGAACGGCCGTGACCGGGCCGTCACCGGAAAACAACTAAGTATATTTTATCTGATTTCATCCATATAAAAAATATATAGAAATATGAAATAAATCTATTATTTTTGTAT